TAGACACACATGCACAGGCGCCCAGCATGTTTTCTAAGATGCCTGGGCTGGTATTTGAACCACTGTCAGCCATATGGGATATGGCTCCCAATGCACAGCAAATATCCACTGAAATACAGTGCCAGCTCTAAGTTTCCTCTTAATACCTTCATGACCAAATCTCAACATCTCAGCACATGAATTTGGGAGGACACTCAAACCATCGCCACTCTTCTTCCCGCTCTCTTAATTAGCACTTACATGTTACTAAGAGAGGCTGTCTCTCCGAATGTGCAGTCCCACTGGCCAGTCTTGACTGCGGACAGCCTGTGCTCCCACCCCAGCCAGCTACCTGATATCCTGTACACCACATGGGACCTACGGGTCCTGAATGAACCAAGTACTATCGTGCTCTCTCCTGGATTGGTGCTGTTCTGGCCTGGCATGCCCTCCCAGCCACGTGGAAATGTGACCTTCCCTCTCCACCCACGGGCCCACTGTAGTGCCCTCATTACTCAGAGCAATCACTGACAAGACACTCTCACTGCATTACGGCTGGCTGATTTCTCACGGGTCTGTCTCAGGCACGTGTATGGTGGGTGCTTGGTGTAGGGACCTCCTTTCTCAGCTTGGCAGCCTCTGGGGCTGGCAGAGTGCCGGTGCAGAATGGGCAGCTTGTGCACATTTGCTGAACTGAGCAAGAATGCAAGACCGGAGCAGCACCTGTCTTCTCCCATTGCCCCGCCTCCACGGGCCACTGACGGCCTACAGAGGAGGGTGTGGCTCTCCTCGGCCCTCCTGCACCCTGCTCCTCTCTTGGTCAAGTCCACTCTGTTGTTACTAACAGAAAATGCCTGAGTCTGGGTAATTCAAAAGAATCTAAGTTTATTCAGCTCAGGGTGTGAAGGTCCGGGGGCAGCTGGGTGGGGATGGTGGGGGGGGTCTCGCAGAGTCCTGAGATATCACGCGTGAGGGTGACACCAGAGCAGAGTGGCTGTGTCCATCAGTCTGTCTGTCCTACTCCCTCTCCTTACAAACTAGTGAGGAGTCGGCCATAGCTGTCCCACCCTGATGACTTCAACTCTAATTTCTTCCCCAAATTAGGTTCCCTTTTTTTGGAAAGTGCATGTACTCACCAGAGAGAGAGAGAGAGAGAGAGAG